TATAGGATTCTTGCCCACAGTAGTAGATATGGTAATCATCTGAATTGAATTCGCCCATTCCTGTCCAGTTCCGTATGTAGTTCACTGACGCCCAGGATGTAAATATTTATTCTTGCCATTTCCTGTTTGACCACATCCAGCTTACCTAGGTCCATAGATCTAACATTCCAGGTTCCTATGCAGTATTTTTCTTTGCAGCATTGGACTTTCCTTTCACTTCCAGGCACGTCCACAGCTGAGCGTCCTTTCGGCTTTGACCCAACCACTTCATTAGCTCTGGAGCTACTTGTACTTGTCCTCCGCTCTTCCTCAGTAGCATGTTAGATGCCTTTCGACCTGAGGGGCCCATCTTCCATCGTCATATCTTTTAGCCTTTTGTTTCTGAACATAGGTATTCTTGGAAGAGATACTGGAGTGGCATTGCCAATTCCTACTCCAGGTGGATTGCAATGTCGGAAATCTCCACTATGACCTGTCTGTCTTGGGTGCCCCTGCACGGCATAGCCCATAGCTTCTCTGAATTACTCAAGCCCCTTTGCCACAAAAAGGCAACAATCCATGAAGGGGAAAATCATACTAGGGCTCATTTTCAGGTTAGGTCTTATTTTTGGGGAAACAGGGTAGTTGCTACATACAGTCTGCTGTGCTGGAGCAAACACCTCTGTTCCCCGCTCCCCGCTCTTTCTCAGAGAGGTAGCCTACATAAGTGCTTAAGAGTATCATATATGTGTAGTCCAGGACATAGAAGCTTTAACTGCCAGCAGGTAAACATGAATCCTTGGGTTATCTCTAAAAAAGTTTAGAAAAACATCTCCCATCATTCAGTATTAGTAGAGTAAGACATCGTCCTGTTTCCAGATCAACAATAATTAAGCCAATAAGTGGTAATCTTTTAATCCTAAGAGTACTTTTTATTTTACCTACCTACCTGTTTGCCTGCCTGTCTGTCTATCTGTCTGTCTACAAGGACATACGCATAGACAAGAAGTGGCCATTTTCCTATATGCCTACTTTGCTTGAACACTTGGAGCACAGTATTTGGGCAGGGAAGTAAAAACAAAACACAATACAAAGCAAGGGGTGTGGTTACATTACGAAAATGAATCAAGAGAGGCATCAGGGGTTTTGAAATCGATTTAAAGTCATGTGGTAGTCATGTAGTTTTTTGGGTTGGTGTGTGTGTGTCCTCTTGGGAAAACTTTTAATCCGTTTTATACTGTGTTGTGTATCAGTTGAGAGGGCAGCATGGGCTTTTAAAATCATTGCATTTGATGTGCCTGCCTACCCTGATGCTGGCTGCCTCTCACAGGCATGACCTGCTGCTGTGGTGGTGTTGTTTTTAATCTTGTTTCTGCTTACAATCTGACACAGCACTAGAAAGATAGGGAAAAAATTTAAACAGATTGGATTGCAAGCTTTCACTGAAACCTGGCATGCACTCATGGAGGGAGAAAGCAGGGGGAAAAGGAGAGGGAGCAAGGAAACTGGCAGTGCCACTCACCAGTGTGTCTTCCCCCTCACCATCCCCGGCTCCTGGTTCCTTCACTCCCTCTCCATGTTTCTTGGCAGGCAAAAGAACACTTCTCTTAATGACTTTTCTTAGAAGCACATTTTTAAAATGAGGAAAATGGGATCAGCACCACCAGTTTCAGTTATCTGCAGTTTACTGCAGCCGTATATACAACACACAAGGGAGTGGGCTTCGTGGCCTTTGTAATGGCCCCTTGTGGGCCTTTGTAATGGCCTCCCACCTCCTTGTATGCTATATATAAAGTTTGGTGCTATTCATGGTTTCAGGCATTCGTGGATACCGTACATTATGGAATATATCTTCTGCACATACTGTAGTCATAATGTGAAAATGTCTTCTACAGCCTATAGAACTATAGAATAAACTTACTACCCAAACATACATGATGTTTTTTCAGATTTCCAAGCAGGTGTAGGATGTATATTAAAACACGGATTATGCAAGAATAACCTTTTGATTTGATCTATTTGATTTGAAAAATCTGGTGGGAAAACATTAACCTATTTTGTATCATAAACAGTCATTTTAAAAAGCATTAAATCTGTCAAATTGCAGGTTGCAGAAAACACTAAGACTGCACATGTTCACTGTTTACTTTCCAATTTCCTGATATTTACTTTTTACTATACTATAGAAGTGACCTCTAACCATCTAACTGATTAAACTTTGACATTGTTCTGGGGTTGATTTATTGTGAATATTTACAGTGACTCTTCCAAATGTGAAGCCAAATAGTTTTTGAACTTTGTGCTAATAAATTATGTTGTTAATAGAAGAGGTCTAGGTTCAGTATTTCTTTCTTTCCTCAAACATCTGGTATATGTTAACTAAAATCTGCACTGATTATAAGATCTATGTCATTGTCTCTTCTGGGGTGGTACTCCATATAAACATACAGATTTTTTTTAAAGGACACTTTTTAAAAAGCCATACAATTTTAATGGAAATATTTCCTAAGGCAGTATACAAAATTATATGTAATTTGACCTGGATGTGTATGTTTTTAAAGCAATTGTACCAAACATATAAGAAAAAGACATGTGCTATTTTTCTTTGTAGGAAAACTAGTGGCAAGTAGAAAAAATATTTAATGCCCAGTCTCCTTCAAGTGATTCTTAATTCAATTTTAGGTCACAATAACCAGCAGAAAACCTCTATCTCTGCCCACAAAACAGTAGTTTATAGATTCATTACAAGACAAAATGAATTTGACATGTAATAGATTATAAGTCAAGGTTATTGCCTCAAGGCTGTTGGGTACATGAAATCAAACCCGAGCTAGATTCAGATAAAGGAGAAGTGAAAATTGCTGGAACAATAATAATGTAAAATATGCAGATAACACCATCTTACTGGCAGAAATCAGTAACTTGAAATGACTTTTAGTGAAAATTAGAGAAGAAAGTGCCAAAGCAGGACTGCAGCTGAACATTAAGAAGACCAAATCATGAAGAACAACTATACGGAAGAACTATACGACTTTAAAGTTGACAATGAAGAAAGTGAAATAGTTGGAGGTTTAGTACACCTTACTTCAATCATCAATCTACATGGACTGTAGCCAAGGTATCTGAAGACTGACACTTGGAAGCGCAGCAATGAAGGATCTAGAAAAGATAATCAATTATAAGTATGTGTCACTGGAGACGAAGACCAATATCACCCACACTCTTGTATATCCAATTGCCATGTATGAGTGTGAAAGCTGGACAGTGAAGAAAGCTGACAGGAAAAAGACTGATTCGTCTGAAATGTGCTGCTGGAGCAGAGGTTTGTGGATATCCTGTACTACCAGAAAAATGAACAAATGTGTCTCAGATCAAATCAAAGTGAACTACATCTGGAGACAAGCATGTGGAAACTGAGATTGTCCTACTTTGGGTATAATATAATATAACAAGATTCTCTGGAAAAGATAATATTGGGAAAGGTTGGAGGCTGTAGGAAAAGAGGATCTGAGCGAGGTTGTTGAAGACTGCACACTTTGGATATTACTCATTCTTGGGTTTGCCATAAGTTGAGGGTGACTTGACAGCACTTAATAACAGCCACAGATGTGAGTTGTAATGCAGCCTAATGCAGTCATTATACTAAAGATACAATTCCATTTTGAGTGCTTAAAAGAACTCTAATCATGCAGTCCTAGATATGTCTACTCAATAGTAATTCCACTATGTCTAATGAGATTTACAGATATGCTGTGTAAGATTGCATTTCAGTATCCACACAAAATAACCCCCCAAAAATAAATGTTTTTAAAATTTGGAGAAAACGCAGCCTACAAAACTAATAAAATAATAAACTATACATAGGAATATGAATTTATGTCTGAGAAAATCTGTATTGGCTTGCATGCTTAAGTAATTGAAATCCTATGAACAAGTTTCCTGCAAGTAAGCCTTGCTGAACCTTTATAGAGTGCAGAACTTTAAAAGAATGTGAACGTGAAAGCTTTCATTATTAAATTGACCTTATAATGCAGGGTGGTAAGATGACAATGATTGCCAGGAAACAGGTGCTGGTCTTTGTATCAAAATGTTGGTCCTCTTGTGTTTCATATTAGACACTACATTGGAGTAGTGTAAGTCTGTTATGGAAGATATGAGTTAAACACTGGCCTGGTATTAAGTCTGATAATAATGTAAATATCAGACTAATAAGGACAAAAATAATGTATGAGAAATTGAATCATTAAAATGGAGATAGAAGGGTCACATGAAACGAACAGAGGAGTGACAGAACGAAGAGCTACCTCAATGGCAAGTTAAGCAACCTGGGATGGGCACCGGTATAGGAAGACTGCAAACTCTGCGGACGGATGATTTTAAAAGACCACTAGCATTAGAACAGCGCAAAGCAGAAATGTGTGGGACTCCAAAGGGGGAAGGTCTGCAGCAGTTTGCAAGACCTCAACATGACCGGTAAGGCCAGGACCTTTCAGAGGTTACCGGTTTATTAAGATCACCACCAGATTCCTCAAGGATTCAAGGGTGGGCCACGACTGCACCTTTAGGACCCCGTCGCCAGCTTTTCCCGTGCAAAAACACAAAGGGAGACTGTGGCGTCGAGCCACTGCCCGCAGCTGTTGAGGGAATCATGGCGGCGGCGGCGGCGGAAACCGGCAACCGGCCGCGGCTCAGAAGCTTCCTTAGCAACCGCCCGGGGGCAGAAGGGGAAGGAGGTGGCAAAGAGGCCGGCTGGGCTCGGCCGCGACAAGGGCGTCCCGTTGCTAAGGGGCGCCGCTGTGGAGGCGCCTCAAACAGCCACTGCCTGGGGAACGGCTGGGAGGCTTGCAGGCTGATCCGGAGCCTGCGGGAGAGGGACGGTTGGGGCGGAGAGAGCGAGAGCGAGGAGACCCGGGCGGCCTCCGTTGCCCTGAAGGGCTGCAGCCCGGCTGACTCGGATCGACTTCTGGCTTTTTTAGAGGAGCGTTTGCGCGGCGGCGGCGCGGGTGGAGGTGGAGGGGGGGGGAAGCAGGTGCTTTTCTTTTCTTTTGTCTCTCGCTCCGTTTTCCGAGGTACCCTCTCGGTCGTCCTCCTGAAAACAGGACCTGGACATGGAAAGCTAAATACAGGAGAGACACCCCAAAAGAAGTCATGTCCCATGTGTAAGTAAGAACAAAACGCCACCAGTGGATTTGTAGGTGCTGCTTATCCGGGGTGTGCTTACCCAGAACTGAAGCCTTACCGAGACATATTCTGGGTACATGTGCAGATGGTTATCGTTTTGAAACCCAGAAAAGGCCTTCTTTTCTCTTAAAGTTCATGGAAAGGTAGCCATAGGTCCCTCCAAAGCCTGCCTGGTTTGCTCATATGCCCTATTTTTAGTGGGCAAACATTGACACAGGTAAAAAACATACGGAAATCACTAGACTTAACTGTGCAGCTTTAGTTTTATAGGGTTCAGAGGTTATCAGTCCATTAGTTTGTGGTGAAACTTCATTGTCCACCCTACAAATAGAAAGCAGGTGGCAATTTTTATAAGGTCAATAAAATGTCAGAGACCCAACTGATATACTTGTCAAATACGTTTATCTGAAATATGCTCTTATAATCCATTCATAATTATTGCTGGAAGATACAAATGACCAAATGACCCAGAAGACTGTGACATTTTTTTGCAATCTACTTGGATTTAACTTAGTTGATTGCCTTTTGTAAAAGAACCATAAGTTATAGGCTGTTTTAATTTTCCGCTATTGACCTTAGTTTTGAAATGGATAATTTTAAAATAAATGTTTTAAATTTACCTTTAAGAGATATATAGGATTACCATGTAAACCAGCAATCCTATGTGCACTTCAGGAATAGTGCTTATATAATGTCTTGTATTTTATTTCTGGAACTGAAGTATTTTTTCTTCCCTTCCAATTAGCATGTACAATAAAATATGGGCAGAAGCCCAAGAATCCCTCAACAGTCTGTTGCAGAAGGAAATTGAAGAGAAGTCCCAAAAGCCACTGAAAGATCGTCTGGTAGTGTTTCAGATGCTAGCTACTTTCTACATCAAATATGTGCAAATATTTCGCAATTTGGAAGCTGCTTATGATCAGATTGTTCATCCACAAAAACGTTTAATTATTCGGCAAGTGCTGGATGGCGTAATGGGCCATATTTTGGAACTGAAGAACGAAATGGTGGAGTTGGAGTATTCAGAGTATCATTATTTTGATGACATTTTACAGGATCTTAAGCTGTCCCCCGTATGTATATTTCTAGTATTTTTTTGCACTATAGAGGTGCTCCTGAGAGAATAAGCAACTGGTTGTTTATTTAAACAGTGACTCCTGGTGATCTCAGTAAAATATCCAGTTCTTCTCAGTTACAAAATTGTATTGAACAATAGCAGTGTTCCATATTGTTGCAGTACTTGCTGATGTGATATAAAACTTGGTTCCCCTTCTAGTTTCCAAAGTAAAGTTTATTAAATTTTCACCATAGAGTTGATGAGATCTGCAGCAGTGCTCCTCTGTTGTGTTGAATGGTGGTTTTCAGTGCTAGAAGTTTAGGTGTAGTGTTACTCCAGATTTTTGTGTTTCTGTGCTATGAGATATTGTGTACATACATCACCATCTAGAGAATCTTCATAATTATCAGGAGAGGTGCAAGCTCCTCACAACATTTAACTTGGTTGGCCAGCAGTTAAAATGCTAGCCTATTCTTACTCATTAACATGAGTGTGGATGGAGTATGCTGTAGTAGAAAGAGTGATGTCTTGCCTCTTTGAAATTCTTGCACTTTGTTTTTCAGATGTTTCATTCACATCTTTTCCCTTACTGTGCAGGCAGTAGTAGATCCCAATTTTCATGTCACTTTTATATTTTTGCCTGAATTATATTAATCCAGATGCTCTCAGTGGGATGACCATGCTGATTCTCCTGCATTTCAGTGCAGGAATATGTATTTTTGACATACACTGCAACTCCATATTCCTTTCTGTTCTTTTTCTTTTGCTGTATTCCTGTCATGGGAGTCATTCCACCAAGTTTCAGTTATCCCTATCAAGCTGTATTCATCCTCCTTAAGTAAAAAAATTCTGTTCTTATTTGCTTCCCATACTCCTGGCATTCATTTATAGACAACAGAGTATGTGTCATGTGTGGCCTGGTTTCCTTCCTACATTGTTATAAGACTATTGTTGGACTCCATTAGAGCTACTTACTCTATGCTTCCTATTGTGCATAAGCCTTTATCTGTGTTTACCTCTGAATTTGCATCGCCCTCCCCTTTCCAATTCAGTTTAAAGCTTTCCTGCTGAAGTTCTTCATGCTATAGCCAAAAATTTCTTCCCAGTTCTTGTGAGGTACAACCCATCATTTTGCTAGCAGTCCGTCTTCCTAGAAGACAGTCCCCAAGTCCAAATTCCTCATGTGGGCTCCACCTTCACAGCTAGTCGTTCATCTAGATTGTTTTCCTTTCCCTTTCTATTCCACTTGTGAGTACTTGTAGGATAGTTGAGAAGACTGTCTGGGCCCCAAAGTCCTGACTATGTCATTTGTTGCCGAGTGGATGAGAAGAAAGGATATGCATCCATGGGTTTTTTGAGCAGTGGACATCTCTCTTCCATCCTCTAGGCCAGGGGTCTCCAAACTTTTCAGTATGAGGGCCACATCATATATTTTACACATTTTTAAGGGCTGAAGGAGGGAAGGGGGAACCATGTGATCACTTGGGTCCCTCTTCCCTCCTCTTCCTATGTCAGGCTGGATAAAAAGGCAAGGCCGGCCGGATGTGGCCCGCAGGTTGTAGTTTGGAGACCCCTGCTCTAGGCAAACAGCACACCTGATTGGTTCGCAGATCTTCCCAGCATATTTGAGTCTCGCAAGTAAGAAGTCTCCTACTACAACTGTTCTTCTCTGCTTCTTTTTGTAAGGTGTAGGTTCAGTAACTCTGTGAGTTTAACACACACACTCAGGTCCTCTTGCAGGGCCTCATATATGTCTTTCACTGCATGCTGTCTGCCAGACTCCTCTTCAAGAATCTGAAAGCGGTTCTGCAGTTCCATTGGTGAAGATTGTCTTCTTTCTTCTTTTGCTGCTGCGACTCTTTTCCATGGTGCTTCCCGTACTATGTTCTTTTCTCAGCATTCTTCTCCTCTGCTTAGTCCTGCTGTTCTTCCACCTCCAATAGTCCTCTTGGTTGCTGCTGCTCAAGAGTTCTGTCTAAACCTCCAGCATGACCACTCCGCTGCTCAGTTCTCACTTTTTCCTTCAACAGTGTAACCAGCTTTCACTTGTTCCATGTGTACACTGCGTTCTCAGGCATGGGAGAAACATTGTACACAGTCTGCAGGTTACCACCACAAAAGTGTCTCTTCCCTCTATAATCCCTGTTACCTTTTGGCTTTTTTCTGTTTCTCTATAAGTGCCCTTTGCTTTGTCTTCTGTGCCTTGAAGGATGTGATGTTGGGAAAGTCCACTAATATATAATTATTTGCAGAAACCAAAAGTTTTGTTTTCCTCAGTAGTCATCTTAAATCATTGCTACTTTCTGCCAGTAATATATTGTCATCATTATTATTAGTGTTTGTTCCCTCAATTTTTTATTATTCCTTCATCTGAGTCTAATTTTCATGACATGTCTTGCATATAGATTTAATAGATAGCGAAATAAAAGATAGCTTTCTCTGGCACCATTGCCAATTAGAAACCATTCTATTTCTGTATAATCTGGGTGAACAATAGTTCTTTTCCAGAGTATAGGTTACATAGGAAACCATCAAGTGTTGCAGCAAACCCATTTCTTTTAGAACAATCCATGACTTTTCATGATGCTGACAGTCAGAGGATTTGGTGTACATTGTAAATCACAAACTGTTGTTCTTGTAAATTCTTTAGTACACTCCTGTAGCCAATGATAACACATAGGCTTGCTTGCTTTATTTGTTTGTTTGTTTTTCAAAATATAATATTGAAGTTAAAATAATAGAAATTAAAATACTTTTTTGGGTTTTATTTTTAAAATGAAAGGTTCAGCAACCCTTATTAAAAATATGTTTCTTTGTAGTTCCCAAAAGCTTGCCTGAAGAGAAAGATCTTTTCCCCCTAGCCAAAGAACATTCATCTGCATTTAGTCCATTAATTATATCAGATATTGTTCAGAACCCAAGCAACCTCCCTGGAGTTAGTTGGAAAAGAAAAAAAGAGAGAGAGAGAGAGTTGGTTTTTGTTTTTTGTTTTTGCATATTGTTGGCACTAAACCCTTATACTTTAGACAATTTCTTCTAGCAGTTTCACATGTATAAGTTTGAGAGACAGGGCTGAAGGCAGTGGTACTGGTAAGATATTTCAGATATCTGGGAAACTATTATTATTACATAGGGCAGAATCAACATCATAGGATATAATTCACACCTTTTTGCAAACTTTTCACTCTTAATAAACTGTATGTCATCTCCCACATACAGAAATATACATATCCATGTTTTTAGCAACACTAACCCTTGGAGACTTTGTCTATAGGCAAGTAATAAAGCATATTGTTTTGCAGCAGAGAAGTGGATTAGTAACTTTCTGGGCACTATATTGAGTATTGTTAAAGATATATGTATACTGCCTTTCTTGGAAATTAAATTAAATTACCACTTGAGTATTTCTAGATGGAATTCAAGGCTCTCAAAGGACCAGAGATTTCCAAAGATTAAATATGCTAAAACAATTGCTGAGTAAACTGTAATAGTACAAGACCTGTTTTGAGTGTTAGTTACATATTTCTTCTTGAAATATGTCTTGAACACTATTTGCAAGTATGATGACATAAGGTATTAAAGGAATGACTAGCATGATTTATCATTTTTTTGTAATTCAACAGGAGAACATTGAAATCCCTATACCAAGATATTTTATTAAAGAAAAGCTAAAGGTGTTGAAAGAGAGAGAGAGAATCCTAGCTCAGATAATGTTTGATGCTGGAATGCATGATGATGAACCAGTAAGTATGATCAGTTCAGGGATACCTCTGCAAATCGCAACACCCAAGTAAATGCTATGATCTGGCATTTGTGGTCCTATTCCATGGCTAGCACCTATATTGCTACAGAAGCTGGTAATTCCAAACAGAGAGCAAATCTTGGGCTTTCTAAGTACCAATGTTACATTTTTTATGTTTTCTGAGTTAACAATATCAGAGCAGAATTATTACATCATTAAGGAGAACATTATATTTATTGTAATTATAGCACTGATATAGTAGGTGTTTGTAAGGTGATACACCCAATATGCCAGCAAGTTTGGAAAACTCAGCAGTGGTCAGAGGATTGGAAAAGATCACTCTACATCCCAATCCCTAAGAAGGGCAGTGCTAAAGAATGTTCCAACTACAGTACAATTGCACTCATTTCACACGTTAGCAAGGTTATGCTCAAAATCCTAAAATGTAGGCTTCAGCAGTACTGTATGAGGGTTGAGAACTCCCAGAGGTACAAGCTGGATTTCGAAGGGGCAGAGGAACTAGAGACCAAATTGCTAACATGCGCTGGATTATGGAGAAAGCCAGAGAGTTCCAGAAAAACATCTGCTTCTGCTTCATTGACTATTCAAAAGCCTTTGACTGTGTGGATCACAGCAAACTATAGCAAGTTTTTAAAGGAATGGGAGTGCCTGAACACCTTATCTATCTCCTGGGAAATCTATATTTGGGACAGGAAGCAACAGTTAGAACTGGATATGGAACAACTGATTGGTTCACAATTGGGAAAGAAGTACAACAAGGCTGTATATTGTCTCCCTGCTTATTTAACTTCTATGCAGAATACATCATGTGAAAGGCTGTACTGGAGGAATCCCAAGCCGGAATCAAGATTGCCGAAAGAAATATCAACAACCTCAGATATGTAGATGATACCACTCTAATGGCAAAAATTGAGGAGGAATTAAAGAACCCTGTAATGAGGGTGAAAGAGGAGAGTGCAAAAAACAAAACAAAACACCACAGTCTGAAGCTCAGCATCAAAAAAACTAAGATCATGGCCACTGGTCCCATCACCTCCTGGGAAATCAAAGGGGAAGATATGCAGGCAGTGACAGATTTTATTTTCTTGGGCTCCACGATCACTGCAGATGGTGACAGCAGCCACGAAATTAAAAGATTCCTTCTTCTTGGGAGGAAAGCGATGACAAACTTAGACAGCATCTTACAAAGCAGAGACATCACCTTGCGGACAAAGGTCCAAATAGTCAAAGCTATGTTTTTTTCCTGTCGTGATGTATGGAAGTGAGAGCTGGACCATAAAGAAAGCTGACCACCGAAGAATTGATGCTTTTGAATTGTGGTGCTGGAGGAGATGACTGAGGACATGATGGTTGAACAGTGTCATCAAAGCTACCAACATGAATTTGACGAAACTCCGGGAGGCAGTACTAAAAATTATTAGGGAAAAGGTTAAGGCTGCAGTACCAACATTTTAAAATCCTAGGAAAAACTAAGCCTTTTATCAATCCTTTGCATATTGGCTTGGGAATAAGATTCAGTAAATACTATGGGAGAGCTTAATTGTTTATTCTTTGATTATGATTCATATCTCATCTGTCTCTCAGAACTGGGACATGCCTCTAAATGTGGTATGTCTAATAGAAAGGTGTCTCCTGAAGATCTCAGGGTCAGATGACATATTAAGGGATATGAGCATTGCACATTATCAGCACATTTTTCCTTCAAGCAGAGGTTTTTCAGAAATGACCATTATAAAACAAAGACTGCCACCTGAAGATATGAAGTTGAGGAAAATCACTATTCCATAGCAAAGATACATTTCATCACTTGAAGGAGGAGTGAATTCTTGTTAATCATGTGCTCTGTCTGACCCTCTGAACTGGAAAAACTCATATGGGGGCATGTAAGAGCATGTAATACTTCAGATAATTTAACATTATTATAGGTCGTCGTTTAGTCGTGTCCGACTCTGTGACCCCATGGACCAGAGCATGCCAGGCCCTCCTATCTTTCACTGCCTCCCGGAGTTGGGTCAAATTCATTTTGATAGCTTCGATGACACTGTCCAACCATCTCATCCTCTGTCGTCCCCTTCTACTCTTGCCTTCATACTTTCTCAACATCAAGGTCTTTTCCAAGGAGTCTTCTCTTCTCATGAGATGGCCAAAGTACTGGAGCCTCAGCTTCAAGATCTGTCCTTCCAGTGAGCACTCATGGTTGGTTTCCTTTAGAATTGATAGGTTTATTCTTGCAGTCCAGGGGACTTTCAAGAGCCTCCTCCAGCACCACAATTCAAAGGCATCAATTCTTCACTGATCAGCTTTCTTTATGGTCCAGCTCTCACTTCCAAACATCACGACCGGAAAAACCATAGCTTTGCCTATTCGGACTTTTGTTGGCAAGGTGAGGTCTCTGCTTTTTAAGATGCTGTCTAGGTTTGTCATCGCTTTCCTCCCAAGAAGCAGGTGTCTTTTAATTTCGTGGCTGCTGTCTCCATCTGCAGTGATCATGGATCCCAAGAAAGTAAAATCTGTCACTGCCTCCATATCTTCCGCTTCTATTTGCCAGGAGGTGATGGGACCATCGGCCATGATCTTAGTTTTTTTGATGTTGAGTTTCAGACACTCTCCTCTTTCACCCTCATTACAAGGTTCTTTCCCTTCATGGATTTATTTTAGATTATTCCTTAGTAGCCCAGTGGTTTTTCCTACTCTCTTCAGTTTAAGCTTGAATTTTGCTATTAGAAGCTGATCATCAGAGCCACAATCAGCTCCAGGTCTTGTTTTGCTGACTGTATAGAGCTTCTCCATCTTTGGCTGCAGAGAATATAATCAATCTGATTCCGATATTACCCATCTGGTGATTTCCATGTATAGAGTCGCCTCTTGTGTTGTTGGAACAGAGTGTCTATGATGACCAGCTTGTTCTCTTGACAAAACTCTATAAGCCTTTGCCCTGCTTCGTTTTGAACACTTGGATTATTGTGATGTTGAAAGGTCTGCTGGATTCATATTGACATTATTCTACCATTTTTGAGATTATATCCCATTACAGCTTTTCCCACTCTTTTGTTGTCTATGAGGGCTACTCCATTCCTTCTATGGGATTCTTGCCCACAGTAGTAGATATGATAATCATCTGAGTTGAATTCACCCATTCCTGTCCATTTTAGTTCGCTGATGCCCAGGATGTCAATGTTTATTCTTGCCATCTCCTGTTTGACCACATCCAACTTCCCAAGGTTCATAGATCTTACCCTCCAGGTTCCTATGCATATTTTTCTTTGTAGCATCGGACTTTCCTTTCACTTCCAGGCACGGTCACAGCTGAGTGTCCTTTCGGCTTTGGCCCAACCACTTCTTTAGCTCTGGAGCTACTTGTACTTGTCCTCCACTCTTCCTCAGTAGCATGTTGGATGCCTTCTGACCTGAGGGGCCCATCTTCCAGCATCATATCTTTTAGCCTTTTGTTTCTGATCATGGGGTGTTCTTGGCAGATACTGGAGTGGCTTACCAATTCCTACTCCAGGTGGATTGCGTTTAGTCGGAACTGTGCAGTATGACCTGTCCATCTTGGGTGTCCCTGCACGGCATAGCCCATAGCTTCTCTGAGTTATTCAAGCCCCTTCGCCACGACAAGGCAGCAATCCATGTTGGTTATAGGTAATAACCAACATTTTGAATTATGCCAGGAAACAGTTCACTAGCCAGTCAAACTATTGTTTTGAATCAGCTGATATATCCAAACGCATTAGGAAAGCACCCCAGTGTACAGCACATTACAGTAATATGAACAGGTTTACATTCTCTCTTTTTAAAAATCAAAACATCCTAGGTCTTTGATATTTGACAAGATTCCCCTGGATGACACTGCTGATAGAAGGGACAGAGAAGAATTTTTTCTGCTTAGCCTCCATTACTTCATAATCTCCTTTAAATGGGTTGTCACTCATGTTCAGTCCTATTTGCTCCAAGTTTCTTGTGTAAGCATCATCCTAGTTGCTTACACATTTCATTACTGCCAGCTCTCTAAAAGGATAGGGGTCTCATTTGGCTGGTCTACCTGGAAGCTTGAAATACTCTGCAGCAATTGTGTCTACCTCCTGGACCATTTCTCCTTTCAAAAGATTGATCAGAGCTTTCACAAAACCCCTTCTCTAGGCAAGTAGTAATTATTAAAATTATTTTAACTATTCCCCAAGAGCCATCAGGAATTGAGCAGCCTCCTGGAGCTGACAGTCATTGGAACAATGAAGAGTTCTACTCCAAGATCACCGTCGTCCCATCCAGCACAAAAGATCAGTACCCGCCACCCTGATAAGATCATAACCATGGGACACCGTTTGGATTTCTACTACATTCTCCTCCTGCCTGCATTTATATAAATGTCTGTTTGCTGGGGTTGTACTCCATACAGTTCTCCAAAGTTGGTGTCAAATAAAGCTTAATAAATCATGCTGCTTATATATTGCCCTACAACACATAAAGCACTCTTTGGGAGGTTTATAATTTAATTATGCAGGCTACACATTCCCCCCCTCCCGCATGCTGGGTACTCAATTTACTGTTGTCAGAAGGATGGAAAGTTGAGTGAACCTCAAGGGATTGAACCCAGGCCGTGAGCATTCTGGCTGCAATACTAGTACAGTACTGTAGTAGTTTGCTCTGCCACAAACGCTCATATTATTAGTGTTTGAGCTGCTGGAAGAGTCTCTGTTGGACAGAGAGAGAAGCAATTGTATTATAATAACTGTTGTGATCTCAGAGCCTGACTGGGATTCCAGTAAGGCCTTGATCCCAGCAGAAGAAGCAGTTTGTCCTGCCCTTGTTGGTGATACATAACTTGTTATGATAATCTATGTATACATGCATTTATTTTCGTGTTTTTGCTGCTTTTCTCCCAATGAAGGGACTCAAGGTGGCTTACAAATTGTTAAAGAAGCCCAGACTAGAAAAATAAATTACTGCATTAAAACATATAATAGGATTAAAACAATTAGTTAGAGCAGTTAAAATACATTCAAACATACATGAAGTAATAATGATGTGTAGCACCCAAAAGAAAAATTCTTCACTGCCCAATTAGTTGCTAAAAGCCTGTCTAAAAAGGATGGTCTTTACCTCTTACTCCAACCTAGCTTTCTGGGGGAGAGCACTTCACAACCTGGGAGAAGACCCAGAGAAGGGATCCACGTTTCCACAAGATGTGCCTGTGTACTTACCATGCTAGTACAAAACAAGAAACCCAAATGCATATATTTGTATATTTATTGTATAATACAGGTAGTATAGTACAGTATAAGAAACACAGTTCTTCAATATCGTGCTGTTCATTTTGACAAGATAATTAAAAGTGTGCTTAAAGCAGATGAAATAGTTCCAATAAATGAAAGGTTTCTAGCTCTCTATAAAATACTGCATTGCTACTTTTTCTTTTGTGAAATCAAAAAAGGTTAGTAAAAACATTGCAAAGAATGTTCTGTTGTTCATAATTATTCAATAATTTTGTTTTTATCAATTACTACTTAGATTTTTAAATTCTGCTGTATGTACAATTTGTCTCATGAGAAACATTTCAACAATGTTCACACTTTAGGAATATTATTTATTTAACCTATTAAGTAAGCACATGCAAAAATGTACCTGACAGCCTTGATACTCCCTGTTTTAGAAACAGTTCTGTCATAAATTGTAACCTGAGTCAAAATACCTCCTTCCTTTCTTCTATCACATCCTTGGGAGCTATTTGGCAGCTAATTGTAATGTCAGTAGTCAAAGGACTCTGGTGTCCTGGGAAAGCGTCCCATGGTTCTGGCACGTAGGATGCTACCATAACAGAATTCCAACAGGGAGAGAGAGTTAGAAGCATAGTGATTGGTAGGACTACATCTTTTATTGATTGATTGATATCAGGGGCATACAGAGAGTTCCTCCACACCAAGATCACTAGCATATTATCTACCAGAACTGTTGAATTTCAAATGTGCTTCCTCAAAGAATTGGAGTTGGTGAACAGTTGGTACTTGGAATTCCCCAGGGTCGAGGGGGGGGAGTGTCAAAACAGCTAATGGAAGGTGCTGTGATCAGCCTATATGCTTCATGTTGTGCTATGTCTAGAAGACATTCAAAATAATGTGTTATTTTATATTTCAATTATATTTGCAGAAGAAACATGCAAAAGTCATGCTTTTAGAAGAAGCTATCAGAGCAATTCAGATAGCTGAGCGGGCCCGCCAGGGCCGACTGAGGGCAACCTTCATGAAGCAAATCTATCTTGAAGAAAAGAGAGAGCGACTAGCCAGACTTCATGGTACAAGAGGCCCAGATCTGGAAACTGCTGCAGTGAACATTCAAAGGGCAAGTTACTTATTACCATTAGAACTATATAGCTGCTAAGCGGATCCAAATGACTGTGAAAGACATATATAACATAATCAGTGTATAATTATTAATGGGCATCCCTCCTGATCCTTGCCTTGGTTTGCAATTGGCTCTGTCTTAATGAGTTTTGAAGATAACTCTCAGAGTTCACCAGATACCTGTCACTGCTAGTCAAGACCATCTCCCATTTTATGAATATGGTGAGGAAGAAACTGGTGTGAAACTTTAGTGTGGGCATTGATTGATGCCAATGTCCTAGGTAGTTTTTTTCTGGCTCATTGGCATAAGATGGGAATCATTTGATACTATATTCTCTAGGTATCCTAGTGACAATGCACAGTACAAGAGAGAGGCATATGTTGCTTTGTGGCATCCCAGAAACTACATTCCCGACACTGCATGAATAACTTTGAGAAGTGGACGTCTGCTACTGGAAAGCCACCAGGGAGGTCTGGAGCTGAGTTTAGCCTATCTAATAAGCTGACTCTGTGCCCAGATCTCTCAATTAAGAGTGCTATAATGAATTTAAATGAGCTTGATCAAATGATGTCAATTAGTCATAATAAAGACATGTTTCTTTACCTTAGAGACCAATTGTGGATTGTCAATGATATCCTAACTCAGTACCATTCTTAAGCAAATAAATGCACTGGGTGTTTTAAAAGCATGCAGTAGTTTTTGCATGGAATGTGTAAGATTTAATAACATTACTGACTTAAATTGTTGTTTTTATTGTTTTATGATATTCCTGTTGTAAGCCGCCCAGAGTAGACGTGGTCTAAATGGGTGGGATATTAATTAATTAATTAATTAAATAAAAGTTAAAGGAAGGTGGTGTGAGTCATCAGGGTTCATATCTTTAAATATTTTTAATCAATAAATTAGGAATATTGTAAATTAAGTTGAGTTTTGTTGTTGTTTAGTCGTTAAGTCGTATCCGACTCTTCATGACCCCATGGACCAGAGCACCCCAAGCCCTCCTGTCTTCCACTGCCTCCAGGAGTTGGGTCAAATTCATGTTGGTAGCTTCGATGACAAAAGTCGAGTTACCTTTGATTTTTAGTGAAAATAGGACATAATAATAAATAGAGGAAGTTTGCCAGTATAATGGGCTAGAATCCTATCTGTATTTTCAGATAGTTTGCATTACTTTCCAAGGCTTAATGCAGCTAAATTACAGGGTGCCGGAGCATGTCTCAGTCAGGTGCTTGGTCACATACCCATTTGCACAACATATTCCCTAGCATATCATTTAGCTGGAGTTAACTGCTACCTAAATCATTGCAATGCGATTTCTTTTGCGATCGCAAAAAAGCCATCGCTATGCGGATTCGTCGTTAAATGGGGCGCCCGTTATGCGGGGCACCACTGTATTTGAAAAGTGTTATCATATCCCCCCCCAAAACACACACACTCTTCTTTTCTAAAGGTGAAACATGCTGAGTTCTTTCCATCTTTCCTCATAGGGCTTGAGTCATTCCTTAGAAGGTTTGGGACATTTCTCATAGGGATTTTGGATGAAGGGTTAAGATGTTTTGGAATGTATGCGTTTATTATTTCTTCCAATTTTAAATATCTTATGTCTAAAGATCTTTCCCTTACTATGTTCCTTTCTATTTCAAAATGTAAGTTTTCTTTGAGAAAAAAAAGATATTTAAGTTATTTTTTCATAGAGTATGAGTACATTAAGTGTTTTAGATAAATAAATAGTTATGTGAAAGGAAAGCTGGAAAGATGTGGATTAAAATATGAATGGGGAAAATATAATTGTATTTTTCAATTGTATTCTAATTAGCATATAATTTAACTTACTATTTTAACTCTTTTTTCTAAATATTGTGAGGTGCCTTGAGTCTCCTTATCAGGAGAATTGTGGTATATAAAAGAAAGAAAGAAAGAAAGAAAGAAAGAAAGAAAGAAAGAAAGAAAGAAAGAAAGAAAGAAAGAAAGAAAGAAAGAAAAATAGAAATGTCAAATGAATTAACAGATTGAATAGTTCTAAATTATTCTATACTATACTGTACAGCAGTGGTCCCCAACCTTTTTGAAACTGTGTTACGGAGGGCAGGGGCACCCCCCGTGCTCATGGGTGGGCGTGGCATGTTCACGCATGGGAATGGCACATTTGCGGATGGGCATGGCATGCTCACAGATGGGTGTGGTGTGCTCGCATGTATGTGCAGATGGGCATGGTGGGTGAGTGGGGCATACACTTGTGCATGTGTGCGAGCACGCCATGCTCACCTGCAAACGTGTCACACCCACCCGCAAATGCACCATGCCCACCATGCGTGCAGGGGGCCTCCAGGAGATCTGTCTCCGTGGCCCAGTCCTGCAAAGCCCACGAACCAGCACTGGGCCACGGACTGGGGTTGAGGACCCCTGCTGTACAGGGATGTTTAAAGCCACCCCTCAAATCACAGATTTTTCCCATTTTTACTTTCTCCATTTGTTTTCCTCTTTAACACTGTAGAAGAAGTTCTAAAAAGAGCAAGTAATCTCATTATATTTGTATTTAAAATTCAGTTTTGGCGTGGACATTCCCAGTGGAAGAGAACTTTGCAACTTAGAGAAGAAGAAATGATATTTCTAGGGATGGTGAGTCTTTAATTTTTTCACTGTTCTGAATAATAAATAAATAACTTCGCATTTTGAGAAAATAAAATAAAAATGTTCTAAAACTGTGTATTGCAAATGTTACCCGTTAACAAGAACAATGTCTACATCAGAATGTACATTTCAATCCTTTTAGTTTGACATAGATATTGCATACCTATAACAAATGTGAAACAAAATAAATAGAGACAAAGATCCAAATCCTGTTGCTTAGCATAGTAAGTCAAAGTAAGAGTCAGCCCATTTGAATTAATGGAATTTGCAGAGGAGTTGGCTCACTAAATCCACATTAATTGAATAGGCCTTCTTTTGCTAAGCAGCAGGATTTTGGCCAAAGAATGGTAAGGTAGGGATAGATCTAAAAGAAGTGGCCTATTATAACCCACAAATCTGAACTGATTGCTGTCACCGGGATTTTTAAAAAAAAATAGGCCAAGAACTATGTAAAATTAGATCAAGGTCTGCAAGTTGTAAATGCCATAGTTTGAGAAGAATATGAAAATGTAAAATATGTCCAGAAGAGGATATCAAACATGGTGAAGGGCCTGAAGATGGACTCCTAATGAGGAAAAAGTTTGGGTATGTGTAACATGAAGAAGATACTTTTAAGAAGTAATGGTAGTCTTCAAATATTTGAAAGACTGATACACTTGGTTTTTGTGACTCCAAAGACCCAAATAGTAGAGGAGTTTTGACTAAACAATAGGAAGCTCTTTCTAATGGTATGACTTGTTCAGCAGAGAGTGAATATAATAGAAAGTAATCAGTTTTCCTTCATTTAGAAGGTCAAGAATTTTGAATGTTGGCTTTCTAGTATAAAGCTCTTAAGGGCCTGTAGTTGTGAGTTTGCTGCATTAGCAGGAGTTGGGCTATATGACCTTCCAGGTGTCTTCACTTTTATTAATGTTGAGTGACCCTGTGGAATGTCTGCTTAGTCTATAAAGTCACTTTTTAAAATAGGTTTCTTCGAGTGCTCATTATAGGCCTTAAGCTTACAGATGTCAGAATGTTTATAGAATCATAGAATAATCGAATTGGAAGAAGCATCTAAAGCTATTGCATCCAATCCCCTGCTAAAGGCAGGGATCCAAATCAAAGTAGATCTAATAGATGGTTGTCCAGTTTTCTCTTAAATGCCTCCAGTGTTGGAGCTCCCACCATCTTCCAAGGTCATTGGTTCTATTGTTGTACAGTGGACCCTCGACTTACAGACGGCTCGACTTACAGACTTTTCGAGTTACAGACTTCTCTGGCTGCAAAATTTAGATTCGACTTGCAGCCAGAGAATCGACTTACAGACCAGAAAAGAACCAAAATGGAATAAAAATAGAATAAAAACCACTGGTTATGGGATTAATCGGTTTTCAGTGCATTGTAGGTCAATGGAGATTTGACTTACAGACTTTTCGACTTGCAGCTACCATTCCAATATGGATTAATTCCTTAAGTAGAGGGTCCACTGTACTTCTTTAACACGTAAGAAGTTTTTCCTGATATTCAGCCTAAAACCGGCTTCCTGTAGCTTGAGCCCATGATGTTATTAGAAAAATTGTTTTAGTAATCATCACTGTAATGTTGGGATTTTCCTTTTACCCAGTTACACTGGTGTAACACAAACACTGTAGCATTTTCAACAAATTGCTCCAAGTAAAAGCATTATCTTAGACATTATCATGTGCATACTGAGTGGTGTCAACTGTTAATGTTTCAAGCTGGTAATCTGTTAATATCTAAATATGTGAACTGGTAATGTCATATGTTTTTTCCTCTCACTGTTAAGAATAAGAGTAACTGTAGGCAGTTATGGGATGCTCATTCACATTGCAGTGATGGTTTGTGGTTGATGTTACCTGAAAATATTATAAGAACATAATATAAAATATGATATATTTCTGGAGAAAATGCTTGCGTTCTTGTTTACTTTCCTAAGTGAAGCTTTTAGTATTTGCATATACATTTGTACAGTTGGATCACATTTTGTGACTCTGTTTATTTTACATTTCTCCTTACTTTGTTTTCTGTTTGGAGATTATCAGCTTCATTCCTGTCCATATTTTGGCAGCAAAATATTGACAGTTGTACAAGGTCCTTTCTGAATTTGATCCAAATCTTAGTTGAATTAAAAGCTGCTCAGCAACCTTTTCAATCTATGCTGATCGTTGGCTCCACTAATTGCTTAAATATTGCATATTGTATGGAAGCAAACTTTATAATTTTCCCCAGCACTGTATAACTATATTAAACCTTACGCATATTTTCATATTCCCCAGCTTCCATCCAGAACACACTACTGTTCACAGCCAACCTTTCAGATACAACTGCTTCTATTCAAATTCAGAAGGCAGAGATTCAAAACTCACGAATTTAAAGTAGGCCGTTTAAAAATCACAGTACCAATGCATGAGATAAAAAAGGAAGAAATTGGCAGGTCAAGATCTGTCAATAGCCAGGAACAGGGCAAACCAGAAAAAGAGACTGACAGAACACCTTTGGTGGTCTCCAAGCTGAGACCATTCACAGGTATCATCATTGCGCTATAGTCATTTCTGGACAATTATACATCTCTCTTCCATACTGCAGACACTTACAAGGCAATATGACACAGGTGCAGAAACAGGGCCAAAGACCCTGCTACAAACCCACATCTGTTCCTTGGGCACCATTACTGGTCCCAATAGTGCCACCCAGAACATCCGGGGTTCATTTACTTTTTCATCTTCTAATCTGATATATACCATCCTCTGTCAGCAGTGTCCCTTCTGTTCTTATATAGGGCAGAAAGACAATTTCTCTGCAATAAATGGACTCAAATTTGACACAAGAAATTGCAACAAACGAAAGTCAATGTCAGAATATTTCCTGGGCTTTTAAAGTACATATACATTATATATATTTAAAAAACTGGTTTTCTCTACAGGCTTATGTTACAATCTTTACAGGCTTATATTACAACAAAGTTGTTTTGATAAAACTCTTGTCTTAAGCTTAACCTGCAACTTACTAAAAAAATCAAGCCATGAAAAGTCAAGTCATTACAACTACTTATTACCAGGATGTTAAGATAATTAATGCATTGAATGTCCACTACCAGGGCTATCATGCTGGTATCAACTTGGAAGCTCATCATCAGGTGTTAATTGGAAATTGTAATCAAAATACGAGGAGATGCAGTCTTTCAGATAGCCTGGACCATTGCCATATAGGACTTCATGAGTCATAATCAGCACTTTGAAGTGATCTGGTCATGAGCTTACAACTAGTGGAACTGTTGTAAGAGGGCAGGTATATGTTCCCAGTAACTGGCAACTGTCTGGGTGCTAAATGTTTTGGATCAGCTGAAGTTTCTGATTATTGTATTGAAGGCTTTCACGGCCAGGATCCAATGATGGTTGTAGGTTTTTCGGGCTGTTTTGCCATGTTCTGGAGGTTTTTCTTTCTGACGTTTCACCAGCCATAGAGTTCTGACTCCTGTCCTTCGAAGATGCCGGCCGCAGAGACTGGCAAAACATTAGGAAGAACAACTTTCAGAACACAACCAAACAGCCCAAAAAACCAACAATAACTTTCTGATTATTTTTAAGGTAGACCCATTTAGAGCATATCACATGAAATCCGACGAAACAGAACAAAACAAAAGACAAAAATGTTGGTTACATGCAATAATTAGGCTTATGTTTGTTTTACAGAAGACAGAAAACAGACATCAGATCTGTGCAGAGATGGTGGGGGGAGAGAAGAGAGGAAAAGGGGTGGGGATTGGAGATTCAATTAAATCTCAGGAGGGGGAAAGAAAGAATGAAAGAAGTTAGTTTCTTTTTCCTTAATATGTTTTCACATTCTGCCTTGGAATTACATCAAAGTTATGTTGGCAAAAGAGTAATCTGACACCTAAAAAACTAACAGATTCCATTTGCCATAAACTTTAATGGACTGCAGCTCATTTAATCAGGAACATGGATCAATGGTCAGATAAAATTAAACCTCTTGGTGTGAGTGCAGAGAGGTTTTATCATACTGAATTTCTTAATCTTCTTTTCTGTGTTACCACCAAAGCACTGTTGTTTGATGACTGCTTTTAAGATAATGATACCTTACTTTTTGTATCTTAGTTCTTTCTCACACCACTAATTACATCCTTCACCTACTCACATATCTACCCAAGCATATTTTTAATAATCTGCTAGTTGCTGCAGCTTTCCATGCATCTGAAGTAGGCTACAGTTAGGGATGGGGGTTCATAGTTGAAACACTTCCATTGCAGAAATCTATGGAACATTTCTACCCGCTCCCAGCTGAGTTACGAGAGTGAAAGCCTTTGAATTGGCAGGTGGTGCAGCAGCCCTCTTTCTCTCCCTTTCTCTGTCAAGTGGGCAAAAAGTGTTCCAATCCAGTATTGGGGTTGCAAGAATTCCCTGCAATGTGCAAGGGTTCATGGGAGGGGAAGTTCTAATGGAAACTGCCTCAATATAGTGTGTATTCTATGCCTGCTATCAGGGATGTGCCATTCTTCCCCCACCAACTCCAACTCCCAGAATTGTCCAAGAGTTCTGCTGCCTTTGAGACTCTATAGAGGGTAACCTCTGAGGAGCTATCATTCCCAGGAGACACTGCAGCAGCTTCCTTTTTTGTATATTATCAACAGGAAGCAAGGCTGGAACTAGGCTTTGTATCATCGAACTCAGACCATGGTCCAGGTGAGCATGTAGGTGTCTGTGGGCAGAACTGTGCCTCATGAATTTTTGAAAAATTCTGGGAGCTGGAATCCAAACAACCCAAATGGCACATCCTTACCTACTATGTTCACTTCATATTCCAGCCTACTTTTTTCATATCATTTTAAAGATATACTTAGATACAGCTTTTGAATGGGGAGGATATCATATGGCTATAAATAAGTATCCATCCCATCTCCTTTAATGACTATTTCACGTAACATATATTTGCTTAATTGCATGGCCTAAATAATATATTTGATATATTAT